GTTAGCATGGTTGTTAGTCACCAAGTAGGTGCTGGGAATAGAACCTGGGTCCTCTGCAAGAGCAGCCAGTGCTTTTAACTGTGGAGCCACCTCTCCAGCCTCCTCCAGAGACTTTTTTTTTTTTAGTTTATTAGTACACACACACACACACACACACACACACACACACACACACACAGAGGCTACAGCATGAAGAGCTGCTAAGGAGTTCATGCATGTACACTTCTATAGGTCTTTTCAATCCTGTCTCAGGATGTTATGCATTTTTTATGTGGAATTGGTCATCAGGTGGGTGATGTTCACATGTGATTCACATGGAGGTTATGGTCTTGCAAGAAAATCTGAGTTTTAATTATGTTTTTTCATTCTTTGAATATGTCTCTATCCATAGAGCTTTAACTAAGGAGGAAAAAATCCTAAATGTTGGTGGCACCATCCCATGGGCTACAATTCCAAGCTGAATAAAAAAAAAAGGGAGGGGACTGAGAACACCCCAGGTTAACTTCTGGTCTCCATATGCCTGTATATACTATATGCCATGTGCACATGAACACACACAAATGAATTATTGTTATTTTTACCTCTTTAAAAAAAATACAGGAATATGCTTTAAGGGGGATCCACTTCCAGACTGGCAATGAGAAAATCTTCACAATCCCACTCCCCAGTAAAACAATCATAAACAGTGGGAATTATCCTTTAAATATAATTTGCAATCTCTGAAATTGTCCCTAAGAATATAGAGCAACCAAGGAAACACTTGACAGTAAGAATTTCTAGCCTTGAACCAAGTCACAGCCTCCTTTTCCCCAAACCCCAATTCAACACACTAGAAGTTCCACCATGTGACTAAGAATGCAGGGCTTCCTCAGCCCTCAGGTTTCAGACAGGACCAAACAAAGGGCAGGTACTCAGCATTTCTTACTCCCAGCTCAACTCCATTATAGAAGCTAAAAACAGGTGAGTGTGGAAAAGAAGATGGGACTCTTGCTATCTCCCCAGTCCTTTGTCCACACAGACCCAAAAGGACATCACAAAAGACGCCTCTACCACAGACACAAAAGTCATGAACACAGAGGCCTTCAGGGCCTTCATTTCAGTTGTTCATTAGACAGAAGCTCCACACTGTAGAGACAAGCTGGAAATGATTACCAACCCACTTAGCACCAAACTATGGTGCTGCTAGCAAGGGTGTCACTCCAAGAGGAGGCCACTGTCCATGTCCCCAGGACAAAAGGAGTGACTTATACCCAGACAGAGAGGGGTAAGTTCAAAAAGCTCCAAAGCTCACCCCAAAGTAACTTTACTCAGAGAAAAGTGTGGGGAAGTTCAAACATAAGAGCATTCTCAAAACAATGAAGATTTTGGTATCAAGCAACTAGAAAGAAGCTGGTCACTCCACAGAACAAACTATTTAAGGCAACCAGGTTACCAAGGAAAGTTTGGAAAAGAAAATGTGAAAAGGAGTCTTCATGTGGTTAAAATAAACTAAAAGACAAGACAGGCCTCAAAAAAATTGCCACTGCAAGACTGGAGAGATGGCTCAGTGGTTAAGAGCACTAGCCGCTCTTGCAGGGGGTTGACCCAGGTACAATTCCCAGCACTCACATGGCAGCTAACAACTGTCTCTAACTCCAGTTCCAGGGGATCCGATGCCCTGTCTGACCTCTGCAGGCATTGCACAGCATGGGCACACTTACATACATGCAGGCAATACATTCATATACATAAAATAACAAAATATTTTTTAAATATCATTGCAAAATATGTGTGTGTGAGAGAGAGAGAGAGAGAGAGAGGAAAGTAGTAGACTGGGAAACATGAAAAGAAAGAGATGTAGATCTTAAGGGAAACAAGAAGGGAGAGAAAAGAGAAAAAGGGTCTGGAGAGATGTCACAGCAGTTAAGAGCACTTGCTGGTCTTACAGAAAACCCAGGTTGGGTTCCTAGCACCAACATGATGGCTCATGGTGACTTCATTTCCTGGGATTCAGTGCCCTCTTCTGGCCTCTGCAGGCACTGTGCACATGTCACAAACTTACAGGAAAAACAATCATACACATAAAATAAAAATAGTATTTCCTTCAAAAGAGGGTGATGGAATATACACATGAGCTGACAGAAGAAGGGGGAACTATTTGAGGGAGGAAAGCGACCTGCACGAAGGGGAAGAGGGGAAATGGGGGAGGGCAATGGGAAAGCAAGATGAATAAGAACAAAGTATAATGACATACTATATAAGCATTCCATAATAAAAACCCAATACTTTGTATAGCAACTTAAATTTTAATTAAAAAAAAAACAAACAATTTGCCGGGCATGGTGGCCCATGCCTTTAATCCAAGAACTCAGAAGACAGAGGCAGGCAGATCTCTGTGAGTTCAAGGCCAACTGGAGCTACAAGGAGATCCTGTCTCAAAAAAAAAAAATTACATTACACTTACACAGATATTTTTACACCCATATTCATATCAGTATATTCACAACAGTCAAAATATTGAAGCAACATAAATTTCCATAAATCTGAAGTCGATTCTTTAAAAAAAAAATACTAGAGGGGGCTGGAGAGATGGCTCAGAGGACCCCAGTTTGGTTCTCAAGCACCCACATGGCAGCTAACAACCATCAGTAACTTCATTTCTGGCCTCTGCCAGCATTGCACACATGTATGCACTAACATACATACATGCAAAACACTCACACACGTAAAAAATAAATAAATTTTAAACTAAAAAATAGCTAGGCGTGGTGGTGGCATGCTTTTAATCCCAACACTTGGGTGACAGAGGCAAGATGGATCTCTGTGAGATCAAGGCCAGCCTGGTCTACATAGTGAGTTCCAGGCCAGCTAGGGCTACAAGGAGACCCTGTCTCAAATAAAATCAAAACCCTAGAAAATACCTAATGCAAAATAGTAGTTAAAAGGGAAATAGAAAAGTAAAAAAGAAACAAGATATAGAAAACAAAACAGACAATGTAAATCCAACTATATAAATAACATTAAATGTGAATGGACCAAGTATTCCAAAGAAAAGGCATAGGTTATCAAATTGGATGAAGAATATGATCAATGATGCGCTACCTACAGAACACACACTTCACAAATACAGAAGTGGCTGTACTTACAGAAGTGGTAAAAGTTAAAAACAAAGATATATAGCTCAAAGAGCAGGACTGGAATAGCTACACTAATACCAGACAAAACAGACTTTAAAGCAAATCTATAAAGCAGGATATTTTACAATGGAAAAAGCTAATCAATCAAGATTACATAACAAGTAGAACAAATACCTAATAACAGAGCTCAAAATTATTACGGGGTATATGTATGCACATGTATATAAATACATATATGTGTGTACATGGGTGTGATAAACAGAGCCACTGGGGCTTACTACCAAAATGAGTGGGATCCCCAAAAAGGTGACACAGCTGCCCAGGAAAAGAGAACAGAGTAACAAGGTCAATGTATATACCCAGTTTTGAGCAACTCAGAAGCCTGTCAATATATTTCAAACTTTTCTTCAAAATTAATTTCATCTTTCATCATGAATGCTGCCTTGCATACTATCCCAGAATAAAGAAGCCCCTTGATAATCAATGTTATTTTTTTTAAAGGGGCACTACTGCTGCAGGGTAGCCCCACGCCTTTAAACCCACCACTCAGGAGGCAAAGGCAGGTGGATCTTTGTGAGTTCAAGGCCAGTCAGTTCCACATAGAGAATTCCAGACCAGCTGGGGTACTTAGTAAGATCCTGTCTCAAAAAAAGTATGGTAAAAAAATTTCATGTCAGAAAATTAAGATACCAATGAGGCCTTACAATATCATAGCAGAAACTTTATGTAATAAAAAATGTATACCCTGCCTACCACATTAGGTGGTGACATACATAACTACGAACTGGCAAGGTTGCTAATGTTCTGGGCTTTGGGGAGCATCTAAACACACCCTTCTCCTTTCTACAAATATGTAAACACGGTCAAGCGGACTAAATGAGTTCTGCACTTGTCTGTACTCTTCATCAGTGGTGGATCTATGGGAGGAAAAAAAAAAAAACTCACCAGATAAACTGGCCTTAGCACAACTGATTTTGCATAACTTGAACTGACTTCACTTTCTACATTTACCCACCCAGAGAACAGTTCCATTTCCGGGAAGTGTATGAAGAAACACTATTGATAAAGCACAATCAGTCTCAAATTCTCTAAAGTAATCACGACTTCATTTATCCTAACTGTAAAAGATGAAACCTTATTCTTGAAGAGTGCCAAACCTAATGTTACTAGTACACTAGTATAGTACCCAGCTAATATACTACTGGGGCAGCAGATATTCGGTCTGGTATGGAATATTTATTACCTAGTACTATTCCTAAATGACAGTGGGTAGGAGCCATTTTAAAATAAACTGAAAATTCGATGCAAAATTAACGAGACGTTTGTCATCAAGTAAAAGCTTCTCCGTCTCCAGGGAAGTTTAGGGGGGAGACCACTGTCACCCCAGCGTGAACTCCAGCCACCCGCGCCTCCCCTGCAGCCCACGCTCGCATCTAGCCCACTCCGCGCCGCGCGGGGAGAGGGGCGCCGGCGTCTCCCGCTCAGGTTCAACTCTCCCACGTCAGGGGCAGCCACTGCGCCTGGGTCTCCACCCGCGCGGAATTCACCACCTCGGTCACGCGGGCCGCCCGTAGGTGACCTTCGCTCCCCCCGCCCCGCACCGTCAGCCCCGCGGGGACGCCAAGGTGACAGGCCCCAGGCCGGGGCGGCTCCCGGGTCAGAGGCACCTCGGCAGCCACACCCACGGACAGAGAGGTGACAGCTGCCCCGGCCCCGACACCGCGCTGACAGGTGTCAGGGCCTCCGCCGCCGCCCACGAATTCCCGCCCCCGCGCGCACCACCTGTCGGACCGGCGCGCGCGTCCCCAGCGGCGGACGCCCAGTCGCGAGCTGTAGGACTCCTTGGCGCGGACGGCCCGAAGCCCGGAAATATGAAAGCTTTACCGGAGAGTGGGCCCTACGCAGGCGGTGTCAGTGCTCTCAATCTCCTGCAAGATCCGCTCGTGCTCCGGGACCGTGCCCAGCGCCTCGCCGCTCTCCGCCATCTTGGCTGGAAGCTGAGGAGCTGGCCCGGCGCGGCGCCGCGCAGACCGCAGGGGCGAGCGGCAGGTGGCGCGAGCGCGGCCGAGGAGGGGCGGGGCTTGAGGGGCGGGGCGAGGTGGGCGGGGCCCCGGCAGGGGCGAGACGGCCCCTGAGGAAGGTAGCCCTGGCAGTGGCGTGGCGGAATGAAGCCAGCATCCCCATCTTTTCCCCGCGTCCCCGCGACCTGCCCCAGTTCGTCTAGAGACGCGTATTAATACAACGCGTGCCAGGCCGCAGGTACCATGGCAAAAAAAGAGATGACCATCAGTCACCCTCCGTCGTATAAAGGCCGAGCCTTTAGCAAGAGGGCCTGATGTGCTTTAAATAGTAAGGAGTCGGAGAAAGAAAAATCCGCCCCGAATCGCCGAACTGCGTGTGGTCGTTAAAGATGTATTTTAGGAAGGAACAAAAATTCCAGATCACGGCCGCTCTGAGTGGATTCATGTCCCCTGCCTGAGGCAAGTTCACAGAGGTCAATCGTCTCGGAAATAAAAGCGTCAGAAAAATTAAATGAGGAGAATGAGAACTTAAGACACTTGCTGGCAAAGATACAAAAGAGGCCCACGGCTATGTGTGATTTCGTGCCAGAGCTCTTGAAGCCAAGTATTCCCGGGCAGTGGTTGCTGGGATGAGGGATTGGAGCTCTAGAAAAGGGAGTGGCTAGCAGAGGTGAAAAGCAAAGGTGAGTGACTTGAAGCGAAAATGCCGGTGTAGAAAGTCTTGTTTAACAACATGACATAGTGTAAACCAGTTTGTCATGATCAAAGCGGTGAAGGAGGAAGATTAATCAGAACAGAGTTCAAACCTAGCCTGGAGGACTATTTTCTGGACTCCATCCCTCTTCACTAGCCAGCTGCCAGACTCCCTTCCCTGAGCCTGTCCCCTTCCTCAGCCCCAGCTCTGAAGACGTGTCCCAACCCAATTCCTTGAATAATATCACTTCACAGCTGTGTGACACCAGCAAAACCTAATCCTTTTGTATGTTTCCCTATCTGTAAATGCCAATAATAGTATCTGCCTTATATTAATAACCAATAACCAATATAACCAATAACCAAAATTAATATAAATTTTCTGTTACCACTGTTACAAATTACAACAAAAGTCACAGTATTCCCTCATAGTTCTCAGGGAGCCACAATCAAGGTGCCAGCACAACCACATTTCTTTCCAAAGTTCTAGATGAGCGTTTGCTTCTTTTCCAACTTCTAAATCTTCCAGCATCCTTGGTTTGTGGCTTTCCCTCCAGAAACCACAGCACTACATCTTGCTGACCATTTTTCTATAGGCACATTTCACTTTGACTGTAACCTAGGCCAGCAAAAGTTCTTTGCTTTTAAGAATACATGTAGTAAGATTAGACCAAAGCACATAATTCTGTTTCACACGGTCCTTAACTTTCATCACATCTGTAACATCCCTTTTGTCATCATCTTCTATTCACAGGTTCCAGTGATCAGTATTTGAGTATCTTTGTGGGGCTAGGCCTGCCTTCCTCACTGTATAAGGGCCCAGCAACCTTACTAATGCTCTATTAATCTAGAATCTCTATCCGTGGTGTGATGGTTGGGTTTTAATGTCAACTTGCCACATATTAGAATCACCTAAGTAGGGAACCTCACTTTAGAAATCTTCTGGATTGCCTTAATTGACCCACCTCAAATGTGGGCAGCACCTTCCCTTAGCAACCTAGATTTTAAAAGGGGGATGGCAGAAGGAAGATTATCTTTTTCTGGCTTGCTCGTCCCTCTTGCCACTGAGTTGATTTACCCTATTGCTGATAATGATGATTCCTTCACTGATATCAGAACGAGCATTTTCAGGCATCCATCATTGACTAACAACCAGGACTCTCCAGAAATCCTTCTGGTATTCAGCACCAGGTTGGGACTACTGAGGCACCCAGCCTCAATGAGATGTCTGTGTGTGTGTCTGTGTGTGTGTGTGTGTATGTATTTATCTCCTATCAGTTCTGTTCCCCCTAGAGAACTCTATCCTTGGTAAATTCAACTCCAAATGTATTGCCATCATAAAGATTCCCCCAACTAATCACAATCTTCTCTGATGACCACAGACCCAATTAAGCACTTTATCTACTTCTAGGTTTTTAGAAGTTTGTGTTTGTTTTTATGAGTTCTTTTTTATACATTTGTTGGGGATTATTCTATTTTTATCTGTAATCCAGGGCCCTGTGTGTGCTGGGTAGGGACTCTCTATCCCATTTGGGGGGTCTTATTTTGTACACCTGATTCCCAGGAACTTCAGTGCACACTTGCTTGGAAGACCAAGGAATCTGTACTTCATCTAGCTGCCCATTCAACAAAAAATCCTATTGCAGGCCAACCTGAAGCCATCAAAGCCCCACCCCTGTCCCCATTATCTTGATGGTCCAGAGGAATCAAGCCTTCTCTAGGAAATCCCATTTCCTTGAGCTTCCATAATATGAATGAATTCCATAATATGAATGACTGAGAAACTTTTTTTTTTTTGGCCAAACAATACTGAGATTCTGAAGCCACTGGAGTGTTTAGGACAAGATAGAAAGAAATGGTTCAAACAGGTCTAATCAGAAGGTAGAAATTAACTAACTTGTGATTGATAACAATTAGGAATTTGAGCTGCGAAATTATTAATAGTCTCTTCAGACTTGCTTTTTATGCATTTCCACTAAATATACCATAATGTGGTTATATTTAGTCACCTTGGTAGGAGCCTATAACACAAAAAAGCTGCTGAAATTCTTGATGTCCACTTTATCAAGAGCTTCAATGTGAGAAACAGTATTTATGGACTTTTGTCAGAGGACATAAATTTCATGGCTGTTCATACAAATTGGTCCTTATTAAATAATGCAAAACTGAAATAAAAATAAAAGCTTTTTCCTCTATTGACTGCTTCTCCATTACTGAGGCCAACTGGTATTATTGGCACACCCTTTACTGCAGGTTTAACTCTTGAGAGGGGAAAATCTAATTTTTGAGAACTGAACCTGACACTGAATTATGAGAGTGAGGACAAATTTTTAGTGCTTTCTACAGCCAATAGCAAACAGTCTTACCTCAGAAAATAAGCATGACTAGAATTCATTGATCTGTAGTGTAAAACCAGATAAGAGCCTGGCATGTCAGCGGACCAGCTTCCTGTTGAGCAGCTGACCCTACTGGAGTGTTCCTCTCCCAAGCATTGGCAACCCAGACTTTTTTCCTTCTTTTCACAATCTCCTCACACCATCTACTGAAATCCAGTTCTTAATGCCCTGCTCTGGGAAGCCAGACCTGCTTAAAGTTCCTCTCACCAGGCCTGTTTCAGCTCCTGCCCACAGAAGTTACCTCAGCGTCAGTACCGCAGGTCTTCTGCATAATTCAAGACTAAAGGAAATCCACATACCACTTCTCCTCAAGCAGCTTTTGCTGTTTCCTCTCTGTGGCTTCTGACAGTTCTGTTAGTATCTAAAAGGTTCTGCTAAGAATTTAAATTTAAATATCTTTTATAACTAAGTTTTTCTGTTTTTTATTTTGTTTTGGTTGGTTCGTTGGTTGGTTGGTTTTGCTGAGATTGAACTGTGGTCCTAGAGCATGCCAGGCAAGTACTACAGTGTAACAGTGTAACGGACTTTCCATGCCAAAAGTGGGGGCAGCCTGGGGTATTGACAATGAAAGAGATAACCCTCAAGAAAGGACTAATAACTTGTCTCAAATCTAAATCTACATACTTCCTACCCTTTGCTTCATTTTTTTTTTTTTTTTTTTTTTTTTTCCTTTTTTTTTTTTTTTTTTTTTTTTTTTCTGTAAGCTGTAAGACTGCCATTGCAAAGCAGGAAAGAAATTAGGAAGTTTGGTTTGGGTTTGGTTTCCTCCCTGGCTTTGCCAAACTAAGCCCAGTTTCTTTTTTTACCAATTTTTAGTGCTCTTCCCCCCCACCCCCCATGTGTCACATGCAATCATGTGAGTATAGGGGAATGTATGTGGAAGTCACAGGACAAACTGTGGTGTTGATCCTCACCTTCCACCTTGTTTTGAGACATGGTCCCTTTGTTCTTTGCTGTTGTGTACGTAAGATTAACTGGTTTGTGAGTTTCCAAGGATTCTCCTGTCTCCACTTCCCATCTCACAGTGGAGCACTGGGATTGCAGAGCCACACTACTTACATCTGTTCTAAGGATTTGAACTCAGGTCCTCAAGCTTGCACAGCAAGCTCTTTACCACCTAACTATCTCCCCAGACCAGCTCCTGGTTCTTTCTTAATTTTTTTTTTTTTTTTTTTTTACATTGCTGGTGATCAAACCTACAGCCTCACACAGCCATCATTGTTTTCTGTGAGTAATGAACCTGAAAGTCCAGTTACAGCTACAGCTGAGTTGTCTCCACTGAGCCACATCCTCTGCCCACTCTCTATCTACAGATTTTAATCACAGACATAAGTATAACATATGAGAAAACGGGGGAGGGAACCTATCCAAGAGGTAAATGATCTCACCCGTCTGCTTTGAGGAGAGGGTTGGGGATGGCAGGACACTCAGGCAGATTCCACATGTATGCTAGGTTATTTTGGGCAATGAATATTAAGCTAGAAATCCATCCAGGGAGGGGACAAACACATCAAGAAGATACATCAGGAGACTGTCAAGACAGGATTCCATTCTGTCTCCAGTATAAAACTAACCAGCAAAGTAGAAATTTGACTTGGAAAATCCTTAAGTCATTAACAACTTCCACTCTGACCCTTGTCTACAAACTACCTGTCTTAAGAGAACTTCTCCTTCAATGGGAAGGTGCAGAAAGCAATGTCCTGATCTGGCATTTAACTGCTTGGTGTCAAATTCCCACCTACCTCTTACTAGATGTTAGGCTTTGGAAAGTCCTTAACTTGTCTGAGCCTCATTTTCTTCAAGTGTGAATTATGCATAATAAGAGTCCCTAGCTCAGCAAATTATGTGGGAATTAGAGACAATATATGTATTATGTTTGGCCTAGAGCTCAATCATCATTAGCATTGGAGACTAAAATTACCA